GGACAAACCTAAAAGGCTCATCACAATGCAATGGCAAGTAATAGTGTGCGAGTCCTGAGCCGCTGTCAGCGCGCACCACCTGCGTATGCCCACGCTGTGGAGGGTGGTCGTCCCATGGGTAGGTGGTCTGCAGCCCCCTCATCGCTGTCAGCATACAGCCACCAGCAAGCGTCCAAAGAACCAGGAGAACGTAGCGTGCAAATCGAGGAATAATCGTGTCAGCAGCCTCGGTGTGAGGGTCGTGAGGGTATCGTAGCATGTATATCAGTGCCGTGCTCGTCAGCTCTCTCTGAGCAGGTCTTGTCGTAGGGCGTCTATCAGGTCCCGAGCCGCTGCCAGCAAGATGGCAACTAGATGGCCCAGATTGGGTCGACCCGATAGTACTGCCATGGTGCGAACAACTGCGCACGTAGAGTATTGCGCTGGCTCTCGGTAGAGTCCCGAGCCGATCTCCCCGAGCATGGGGATGTTGTCGTGGTAGAGCCACCAGTGATCCACGTAGGGCAGCTCCCAATGCAGATGTGCGGTGATAAGGTCGGCCTCCCAATGCTGTACGACCAGCGTGTCCAGCGAGCTGCACCTCTCCTCGGGAAGCGTGGCATGTCGCTGAAGACCAGGTGCCTACAGTCGCACTCGTTTTATGGAGCGCTCTGCCCCCATCTCGGTGACCAGGTCGGAATTCAGGGGGCAATGCGACGCCGTCCACTCTGGCCGAGGTCCACCGTGTGGCCGCCGCGGCGAGTGCAGCGACCTCGGCGCGCGGCCCCGTGCACGAGCTCGTCCAGCTCGGGCGGGTGGGTTGTCAGCAAGGTGGTCGCCTTCTACGGGGGCGTCCATGAGGGGAGCGTCCAAGAGGGAGGTTCGCAAACCATGGCCCCAGGCACGTGCGCGGCCCAGAGGGGGGGCCAAGGGACGCATTGAAATAGAGGCGCCATGACATCTGGAGAGGTCTCATGGCCCAAACCACGATATCCCCCCCATGCATCACCCTTCTCTTGGCCGCCCTCGACCTTTGTGCGTCCGCGCCGTAGGCGCACTGGTCCGGGATGGTGATGCGCAACTCCGGGTGGCAAGCCAGAGCGCGCGTCGCGGCCAGCCCCCTAGAGCTGACTGCATGCGGCTTCCACCACGCTCCAGCCAGGTGCTCGACTATCATAGGCACGCCTGCACACACCGCCACCTGAGCCAGGTAGAGCGTCGTGCGGTGCAGTGCGTTGGCGAGGCCCTCCTCCTCCTCCTCCTCCTCTTCCTCCTCCTCCTCCTCCTCCTATTCCTCCTCCTCCTCCTCCTCCTCCGCCTCTTCGTACTCCCCTTCACCCCCTCCCCTCCTCGTTTCCAGTTCACCCCCCTCACTCGCTGCCCGAGTGCCCGAGTCGGCCGCCGTTCCTGATGCCGCGGTGGAGAGCACAATTGCAAGCATCACCCGCACGCAACCACCTTCCTGTTCGAGGGTGTGGCTGGAATTCCCCACCCACCCCAGACGCGCGAAGAGGGCCCCAAAACGGCTCAAGACAGATAGCCTCCTGGGGGCCCACGACGGCCCAATACAGCGCAAGACGGCGCAAGAGGGATCCAAAAGGGCTTCAGAGAACACCCGCTACGCCCCAAAGCTCAAAACGCCACACGTTCAAAACAGTCCAATGGACACCCCTCCTCGAACCCTCGAACCGTGATGCTTCAGACGGGCTTGAACCTCGAAGGCTCCAGGCACCATATTCAGAACGGTGGCAAGTTCAGCCTGCGACGGGAGAACCTCCGCGTGGCAACTCGATGGTCTGGCTGGGAGGGGGTGACCAGCTCACAGGTCGCAAGCATAGGAAAGAGGGAAGATAGAGAGAGAGAGAGAGACAGACAGACAGACAGACAGAGAGAGAAGGCGGTCAATGAGGAGGGTTGAGGGTGGAGGTGGAGGTGGAGGAGGAGGATGAGGAGGAGGAGGCAGGAGTGGGGAGGAGGATGAAGGATGAGTCGGAGCAGGAGGGAGGAAGGAGGGAGGGATGAAGGGGGGCAAGAGAGGAGGAAGGTGGAGGAGCGGGAGGAAAACACGAGGAGGGGAAGTAGGATGGGGAGCTCGAGCTCCTCATCCTGTTCCACCCTGGACCAACCTCGAAGCATGCCCCGCCAGTCAATGCTGCAGGCACAGGGCTAGACCTGTGGAGAGCTCTGCGGGGTCCTGACAACCCACCCCAGCCCGTGCGAGACCGCACGGCCAATCATGCGACGCACTCGGGAGGAGCCGTATCTCCGCAGAGCACCATAGGCATCCGTTCAGCCCCGCGACGCTCGTACCCCCACACACAGACACACAGAAACACACACACACACACACTGGTCCCATCCTGAACCTCCGAAAGCGTTCCCGCTACCTCTTCCTCCTCCTCCTCCTGCTGCTTCTCCTCCTCCTCCTCCTCCTCCTTCTGCTCCTCCTCCTCCTCCTCCTCCTCCTCTTCCCTTGCTTCCCCCTCGTCCCTCTCATCCCCTCCTTCTCCGTCCCTCTCCTCCCTCTCTTACTTCATCGCTGCCTCCCTCTCCCTCTCGCCCCAACGTTCGAATGCCAGGCGCTGGGCAGCGATGCTACCGCGAAGCGTCCTGGGTGATCCTCCTGGCTGCACCCGCGAGAGCAAGCCGCGTTACCCGAGGCGCTCTGTCGAAAGGTGGCTCCCTGTAACCATGCGCCTGCTTTATGAGACGCAAGGGAGGGCGTGACCACTAGGTGGGCTGCTGCCGTCTTTAATGCGGCCGCTGCGCGCAGCTCAGTCTGTGTGTCCCGCCGCTCCTCCAAGAAGAATGGTCGCGTTAGGTTTGCATCGCTTCCCCTCCTGATCACGCACCGCGCGCCGACAGACACAGGAGGTTGGAACGAGTGCGCGAAAAACAGCGCCGCAGAGTCGCATATTGCTTATGGGAACCGATGCAACATAGCATATAGTACAGAAGTACGGGAGCTATCGCTGCCTGTTGGGAACTGTTCAGGGAACGCGCGGAGACGGCAGACCTGCCTCGATTTACTATAGCCGGTCCTAATGGTCCACACGGGGCGTTCTGGCAGCGCTGCCGCCCTACCACTGCTTCCCAGCGGCACAAGCAGCCTGCTGATGCAAAACCCGCCGGCGCCCTCGGGGTCGCCAGGCCCATGAGATCCCTCCCGTCCTCTCAATTTTCCCAGCCCTGGGACCTCAGAGAACTGACAGACCCGACAGGCTGGCTCTGGCCCCTCGCCTTCCGCCGAAGCTGGCTCCCCGGCCCACCTGCGCGCGAAGTCCGCCATCCGGCGCCGCCCTCGCGAGTGGCCAGCACATGGCGCGCCACGCTGTCGTGCTGTCCGAGGTTTAGCAGGGCGGGCGTCTCATGCCTGCTTGGCACAGATCAGTGTTCGGCCATTTCCCAGGCCAACGAACCTACTCCGCGTAGACAGGGCGGCGTGGCACGATTGTCGACGAAGCGCCACTGCCAGAGACGGCCGCGGATCCCTCGAAATAATCCTGCTACATTCAATCGGCCATGCTGAATACCCGTGTGAATGTGTGCGCATGTTCCACAAACCAACCCACTTCCAAAACTGACCGTGAGCACTGCAAACTGCTTGTGCGTAGCTCCCGAGGGTGCGTTCTCACGAGCAAGCTCGACCCTTCCCTGCGCTGGCCCATTCGTGGGGAGCCGCTCGCGTGGGGCCCCTTCAGCTTCAGTCCGTCCTCGTGCTATTGACTCTGGCGCGGTCACTTGATGAGGGGCTGTGGCCATCCCTCTTTCCGAAGTGCCCTTCGATGTACTCGAACATACATTGGAACCCAACTGCCGTTCCCAGGGGAAAATTTCGTGAAATGGACCCAATGCAATTCCAACCCAGCCTTACTGTAATCAACTGTAGAGCCGTCATTCGATGAGATGCTGCAGGCGCCCCTCGCTTAAGGCGATAGGAGGGCGGATGGGATGGGAAGGGGAGGAAAACTACCCTGTAACGCTTTCTGCCCGCCATGTTTGGAATACCTGAGGCCGAAGCGCGGCGGCTTCAACTGAAGCATGCGCAGAAAGAAACTTCCCTACGATATCGAACTCGTTGATCGCCTCCCGGACCAACGGACCGTAGCTGGAGGAGGACGCCCCCACAATAGAAACTCTTCTAGTGAACGTTCGCTTTCCAAACTCGCCTGGAGAGACCCACGTCCGTTACACGCGAATCGGGCAACCTACCCCTAAGCGCTCGCCTCCCTGCCCCGCCTGGTCAGTCATTGAGATGTCCAGAAGCCTGGGCCAATACCGAACCATTCGCCCTGGCTTGCCCATCACTGCATGCTTTCGCCTGCTAGAAATCTGTGCTCGGCGACGCTACTGGACCGATACCGCTACTCCCTGGACCTCTCCTGGGATGCGCTCTGACTGGAATGTCGGGGGGGACACAGCCGTGGTGACGAGGGCTCTCTACGACGAGCGGCGGTCCTGAGAGCTGTGGCGCGACACCCTTGGCGGGGGTCACCGTCCTGCCGCAAGGCACCCTGGCTCAGAGCGGACCGCGCAGAAGCTCCAGCCTGCGGGCGCCTCGGCCCGCGAGGGGTTTGGCTGCCCCTGGGCCGCAGACCGAGGCGCGCCGGCAGGGAGACAGGCACGGAGGGCAGAGGCTCGCCGGTCCACCACCCCGCTCCTGCACCACCCTCCCTCTCAGCCTCCTCCTGCTGCTGCTCCTCCGGCTGATTCCGTTGCTGCTCCTCGCGCTCTGTCTCCTCGGAATGCCGCAACAAAGACTGCTGCTTGAGACAGTCCTCTGCTCGGAATTAGAATCAAATTCGGTGCGGCTGGGCCGCTCGCTGAAAGACTAAGGGAGATGAAGCATGATGTAGAAATGGGCACTTTACGTGCAACGGGAGCCGCTGCGGAGAGGAAACGGAGATGGTGCCACCCAAGCCAAGAACTGGGTTCTGCAAAAGAAGATGGGCCGGTCACGAGAGGCGCAGCTGTGAACGCGGCCCACGCTTTCATTCAGTTGCGCCTCAAAATGTAAGCCTTCAAATAGCGGGACTCAGGCTGCATGCGGCGACGCGCGTCCGTATCATCCTCCTCATCCTCCGCCTCCTCCTCCGCCTCCTCCTCCTGATCATCCACATGCTATTATTATTATTATTATTATTATTAGTATTAGTATTGGTATTAGTATTATTATTATTAGTATTGTTATTAGTATTAGTATTAGTATTATTATTATTAGTAGTAGTATTGTTATTAGTATTTTTATTTTTATTACTATTTGTCCTACTATTATTGCTCCTCCTCCTCCACCTGCACTGCCTGCCCTTTCATACTTACCCCTGGGTCCAGTGAACCTACACTACTCTCACCCCTCTCTCGAGGCAGAGGCCTCCGAGCGAAGTGTGGCGGCAGGCTCCAGAGAGGGAGGGCGACGGAGAGAAGCATGAGGACAGGGTGGAGGACGGGACGAGAAACCCGCAATCGCTCCCGATCTTGCTCACGAAGCCACCCGCTCCGGCCTCTGGGGCCCTACAACGCGCTTGTCTTCCTCTACGACTGCTGGATATGAATGCTGTTCTTTTCTCTCCGCCGGCTGCGTGCTGATTATTTTGTCGCCCTCTCCGAGTCACACACGATTTACGGGCGCAATCCGTAATTTGACTTTCTGGAAGTAGACTGACAGAGCTGACAGAACAACTGAATCACCAAAGCCGTTAGATGGCAGCTTCAGGCGAGGGGGCGAGGATATTTCGCTGGCAGTTTTCGGTCAGGGGGTCGAGGATGTTTCGCTGGTAGTTTTAGTCCAGGGGGTTGAAGGTATTTCGCTGGCAGTTTCAAATCAGGGAGTTGAAGATATTTCGCTGGCAGTTTTAGGCCAGGGTATGAGGATATCTCGTTGGCAGTTTCAAGTCAGGGGTGTGAGGATATTTCGCTGGCAGTTTTTAGCGAGGGATGTGAACATATTTCGCTGGCAGTCTTAGGCCGGGGGGGTGAGGATATTTCGCTGGCAGTTTTAGGCCAGGGGGTTGAAGATATTTCGCTGGCAGTTGTAGGCCAGGGGGGCGAGGATATTTCGTCCTGAAGCGAGGGGATATTTCGCTGGCAGTTTTAAGAGAAGGGGTATGAGGATATTTCGCTGGCAGGTTTAAGTCAGGAGATGAAGGATATTTCGCTGGCAGTTTTAGGCCAGGGGGGCGAGGATATCTCGCTGGCAGTTGTAGGCCAGGGGGTGAGGATATTTCGCTGGCAGGTTTAAGTCAGGGGGTGAAGGATTTATCGCTGGCAATTTTAGGCCAGCGGGTGAGGATATTCCGCTGGCAATTGTAAGCGAGATGGTATGATCATACTTCGCTGGCAGTTTTAGGCAAGGGGATGAGGATATTTTGTTGAGAGTCTCAAGCGCGGGGTGAGAGAATATTTCGCTTGCAGTTTTAGGCCAGGGGGTTGAGGATATTTCGCTGGCAGTTGTATGTCCGGGGGTGAGGATATTTCGCTGGCAGTTTTCAGTCAGGGGGTTGAGGTTATCTCGCTGGCAGTTTGGGGCCAGGGGGCGAGGAGACTTCGCTGCTGGGAGTTTTAAACGAGGGGTGTTCTGGCAGTTTTAGGCCCGGGGGTGAGGATACTTCGCTGCAGTTTTAGTCCAGTGGGTGAGGATATTTTGCTGGCAGTTTCAAATCAGGGAGTTGAAGATATTTCGCTGGCAGTTTTAGGCCATGGTATGAGGATATCTCGTTGGCAGTTCTAGGCCAGGGGGTTGAGGATATTTCGCTGGCAGTTTGGGGCCAGGTGGTTGAGGTTATCTCGTCGGCAGTTTTAGGCGAGGGGGTGAGAATCTATTTTGCTGGCAGTTTTAGGCCAGGGGGGTGAAGACAGTTTGCTGGCAGCTTCAGGTCAGGGGGTTAGGATATTTCGCTGGCAGGTTTAAGTCAGGGGGTGAAGCTATTTCGCTGGCAGTTTTAAGCGAGGGGTGAGGATATTTCGCTGGCAGCTTTAAGCGAGGGATGTGAAGATGTTTCGCTGGCAGTCTTAGGCCGGGGGGGTGAGGATATTTCGCTGGCAGTTTTAGGCCAGGGGGTTGAAGATATTTCGCTGGCAGTTTTCAGCGAGGGGGTGAGGATATTTCGCTGGCAGTTTTAGGCCAAAGGACGAGGATATTTCGCTGGCAGCTTTAAGCGAAGGGTGTTCGTATATTCTCTGGATAGGCCAGGGGGTTGAGGATATTTCGCTGGCAGTTTTAAGAGAAGGGGTATGAGGATATTTCGCTGGCAGGTTTAATTCAGGGGGTTAATGATATTTCGCTGGCAGGTTGAGGCCAGGGGTTGAAGATAGTTCGACGACGGTTTTAAGTCAAGGGGTGAGGATATTTCGCTGGCAGCTTTAGGCCAGGGGGTTGAGGATATTTCGCTGGCAGTTTTGGGCCAGGGGGTTGAGGTTATCTCGACGGCAGTTTTCAGCGAGGGGGTGAGAATATATTTTGCTGGCAATTTTAGGCCAGGGGGTGAAGACATGTTGCTGGCAGTTTCAGGTCAAGGGGTCAGGATATTTCGCCGGCAGTTTGAGACCAGGGGCGTGAGGGTATTTTGCTGGTAGTTGTAAGCGAGGGGTGTGAGGTTATGGCGCTGGAAGTTTTAAGCAAGGGCGGTGAGGATATTTCCCAGACTTAACCAAGCAGCACCATGTGCCGCACACGGGCGGTCAGCCGAAGGCTACGCATCCAGCGCGGTGCTGCGCCTGCATATATGCTCGCCCCTTTGCGAGGGGCTGGCGGTGGGCCAAGGGGCGAGCCGTCCGGTGTTTTCAACTATTGTTAGTTTGTTGGTACGTCGTTACCTCGGAGCGTTTTCGGCTATTTCTATTACTTTGCAAGGCAGTACTCCCGCTGCAGCTTCGCTCCGCCGTTCAGAATGGCTCTCTCGCCACAACGCGGGACACTTTTCTGGGCCCGAGTCCTTCATTATTGTTGTCGCCCCGCTCCTTCCCCGTCCTCCGCTTTCCCCTGGTCATCATGCTTCTGCTCCTCCCACTCCTGTTCCTGCGGCACTGGGGCCTGAGCACAAGGGGCAGGAGGCGAATCCAAGGGGGCAGCGGGGTTGACGGCCAAAGCTGGGAGGACAAGGTCCCCCCCTACTGGCCAGGCCAGGTTCGGACCCGGAACGTCACCTTCCTGGCGCCTGGGATGGGAAGGGAATGAGGGCCCGAGAATCCTGGTCGTCTCGGCATGTGCGCGCTAGGCCAACCGAGGGAAGATTTTCTTCACAGGTCCCAGGGGCGCAGGGTCCTGTGGGGCCCTGCGCACTGTCAGGTGGCGGCCCTGGTGGTAGCGGTGACTTGGGCTCGTCGTCTTCCATTTTGAAGAGGGGATCCTGCTGATGACGACGTCTCCTGTGGTCGCGGTGTTGTGCGTGAAGATATTCATGTTGTCGTTGGTGAGGTGCCGCTTTCATGGCGCTCGTAGCTTCCAATCCTCTCTACAGGGCGTGCGGGTTGTGGTAATTGCGCGCGGGCCGTGTCCTCCTCCTCCTCCTCCTCCTCCTCCTCCTCCTCCTCCTCCTCCTGACGGGTGGGGGCACGTGCTGTCCTGTATATGGGGGACCGTCCCCCTCGCTGAGGCGCCGCTCCAGGCGGCCCGCGACGGAGAGGACAATGCCGTCCTCCAGCTCGTAATACATGTGGTGCTGTTCCGGGGCCACCAGCTCCAAATAGATTGTGTATGAGCCGTCCCGTGCGCCCAGGACCTAGGTCCGCCGCGGGGCCCAGCAACTCGCGGGCCCACTGGTGGACCCGATTTTCTGACAAGATTGATGTGATCGAGCCTGTGAAAGACTCCACCCATTGCAAAGAAGTATGTTTTTAGATGGCAGGCTCACTCGTTGCCCTCGGTAAACGCGCGGCCGACGAGTTCGCCCGCCACGGAGCCGAACTTGACAGGTGTACAGCCGCTGATCGCCTTGTAATTCTGGGCTGCCACGAGGTGCCCAAGCTTTTGCTCGCCGCTAGAATAAGTGGGCCCACCAAGAGCCAAGAGGCTCCCAAGACGGATCCAAGAGCGTGCCCAGACGGAGGACCCGAACGGACATTTCGAGCCCCTGGCCCCGAGAAGCTGCCAGGAGGCCCCAAGAGGTTCCCCAGACGCCCCAAGAGGCCCACAAGAGGTCCCCAGGAAGCCCGAAGAGGCCCCCAAGAGGCTCCCAAGAGACCCCCACTAGGCTCCCACGAGACCCCAGAATTCCTCTCCAGAGGCCCCCGATAGGTTCCTCAAGAGAGCCCAAGAAGCGTCCCTGAGGACTCTGGCCCACGTCAGCGTCGCCGTCGGTGTCGTCCCCCTTCAGGCTCGGCTGCACCAGCGGTAAGGCCTTCGCAATAAGTGGGCCCGCCAGGAGGCCCACGGAGCCGACGGCAAAGGTTTTGACAACAATTCCCTGGACTGGCTCAAGCACGTTGAGCTCGGACCTGATATCCCACCGGAGCTCCGTGAAAATTTTGAGAGAGGGGTTGGGGGCCAATCGTCCGTCGACGACGTCGCTGAGGGCGGGAGGACAGCTCGGACGGAGGGGGAGCGGGCGCAGGCAGTCGGAGCCACAACGAACACTTCGAAAGGCGCAGCCACTCCCCCAGGTGAAGAGGCTTGGGCCTTTCGCGACCATGGAGGGCCAACGCGTCGCCATCTTTGTCCGGAGGCCCCAGTGCGCGGCCCCGACGAGGCCGCCGAGGGGCCGACAGCTGTATGCGCCAGCTGCGGCTCGGTCGGCCACCCAGGGGGAGGGGCACCTTGGGGTCGGAGTGCGCTCGTGTTCGATTGCTCGGGGGCTCGCTCCGAGGACCGCGAGCAGCAGTTCGCTTGGATTTTGCGAGGTGTGCACCCGTCCCGCCGTAGCGGGCGGGTGGCGGCGACCGCTCACGTTGATGCCTCTCGGAGGTTTCTCGCTGCGAAGCTCGGCTTGGATTCCCCTATCCCCCCGCGGACCCCCTCCCAGCACTGTTCAGGGATGCGGGGTCGACCTCGTCCGCGGTCTTGCTCCATTTGGACTATCCTGCCGCACTAAAGCGCAAAGCCTCGGGCAGCGCCAGAACTCTGAGAGTCCGGCGAGGCTCCACTTGATATGTTGTGACGCGCGAGCGGATGCGATCGCATCCTCAGCGGTTGTGGTGTTCCCTCCTCCTTGAAGCTCGAAGCTGCGGACGGTTCTGGGTCGAGCCCTGGCGTCCTCGGTGGCCCTCCAACCAGCTGGTGCTGGGGAGGGCGGACAAAAATCGAGAGGAAAGGAGAGGAGAAAGATGGGACAACCACCGATGGTGACGATGATCACCTGAAGAGGGGGGCGCAAGGTGAGGCTGTAGCTTCCCTCTTCCCCCTATTCCTCCCCCTCCTTCTCCTCCTTCTCCCTTCTCCCATCTCCCCCTCCCCTTCCTCCTCCTCCTCCTCCTCCTCTTCTTCCTCCCCCTCCTTCTCCTCCTTCCTCTTCTTCCTCCTCCTCGTCCTCCTCCTATCTCTACCCTCCTCCTATCTCTACCCTCCGCTCCGCCCCCCCCCCCCCTCCAGGTTCGCACTGGCGGCAGCAGTGCTCTGCTCTGCTGCTTTCTGCCAGGTGTTCGCTCAAGGGGGTGCAATACACGCGGGGTAAAGGAACGCGCACCTTTCGACGAAAGGTGCACCTTCTGCCAGGTGCTTCTGCTGAAGGGGTTGCCACAAACACGCGGGGTGAAGAAGCGTGCGCCTTTCGTGCGCCTGCTGGGCCCCCGCGGTGGCAGTTTAGGGGGTCTTTAGGGCCACTGTCCTGCCGTCCTCGATCCCCCCATTGCCGTCTGCCCAGCTCCCCCCCCCCAGGCCCGCCTCCCTGCGCGGACGCCAGAGCGCTCGCCGCGAGCCCCGCCTGCCCTGCCGTGCTGCCACGCCGCGCGCGGGCGCCCAAAGTCGGCGCCCCTCCCCAACCCTGCATGGGGCTCGGCCGTGCGAGGAAGGGGGTGCGGCCGCCGCTCCCTCCTCTTGCCCCAGGGCGGGAGACGTGGGCACGTGGTGCGGCAGACTGGGCGGGGAGGGGGCGGGGAGGGGGCGGAGCGGGTTGCCCATCGCCAGTCATACAGTCGTCACCGTCTGCTGGCCCGAAGGCCTGGCATGCCCGCAAGCTCTCACGTTCCTGTGCGGCGGCACGTGTGACCAAAAGCAAAAGACCTTTGAACGTCCGATACGAACCCAAATCCCTCGTTGGAGTCAGCGGCGTGCCGGAAGGCTGTCTGGTTGCGACTGGAAAGCAACACTTGCTGCTTGGTGGCGGAGATATGAAAAGGCCGCCGGCCGCGTGGGTGACCTCAGTAATGACACTATCCCTGATCGGATCGATCGAAAGATGGGGTTGGACTCGCTACCTGGTCTGTGATTACAGCCGATTGCGAGGCGAGACCAAGAAGCTACACTCATCTAAGCTCAACTGTCAACCATCAGCCTACCTGTCAACCATCAGCTTACCTGTCACTGCTGGCGCAAACCTCAGTGTCAACCAGCAGCTCATCACCTCTCACTGTGGGACATTTCACGCGACCGACAGCGACAAAATCCACTGCTCAATCCCGCCATCATGAGAGGAACATGATCGACACACGAACCCGGACAGGAATGTATAAATGGAAGGCATGGCAACGCTTCAAGGACACCTGATTGGGCGACGGGCAAATGGAATGCTGAATGTATCGATCTTGATGTACCGTGCCGAGGGCTGTGCTGTTGTGCGCCGTGCTGAATTGCGATGTGCCATGCCGCGATTGTGCTCTATAGTAGTGTTGTGGATCGAGTCCTCCTTTGCATCCGAGTCCTGACCGAACTGATCTGGATCCTAAGCTCGAGCTGCCTGAGCACATAGTAGCTGCCCCAGAGCAATTGGACAGGGGGACATGCCAGGAGGACGCGCCGCGGAACGTCCCAAGGGACGCGCCACGCGACGTGCCAGGGGACGTGCCATGGGGACGCACAGCGGGACGTGCCAAGGGGACACGCTACGGAACGTGCCAATGGACGTGCCGCGGGACGTGCCAGGGGACTCCCCGCGCGACGTGCCAAGGGGACTCGCAACGGGACGCGCCACGGAACGTGCCAGGGAACGTGCCAGATTCCAATGCTGAATGTATTGATCTTGATGTACCATGCCGAGGGCTGTGCTGTTGTGCGCCGTGCTGAATTGCGATGTGCCATGCCGCGATTGTGCTCTATAGTAGCGTTGTGGATCGAGTCCTCCTTTGCATCCGAGTCCTGACCGAACTGATCTGGATCTTAAGCTCGAGCTGCCTGAGCACATAGTAGCTGCCCCAGAGCAAATGGACAAGGGGACATGCCAGGAGGACGCGCCGCGGAACGTCCCAAGGGACGCGCCAGGCGACGTGCCAGGCGACGTGCCAGGGGACGTGCCATGGGGACGCACCGCGGGACGTGCCAAGGGGACACGCTACGGAACGTGCCAATGGACGTGCCAGCGGACGTGCCAGGGGACGCGCCGCGCAACGTGCCAGGGGGACTCGCCACGCGACGCGCCATGGAACGTGCCAGGGAACGTGCCAACTTGCAATGCTGAGTGTATCGATCTCGATATATCGTGCCGAGGGCTGTGCTGTGCCTGGGTGACCTGGACACGTGAAAACAAGCGTTTCGCTCAAGACATGATCGATCCATCTTCATGCTAGACATCTGCCTGGGCAACCTAGATGCGTGAAACCAAGCGTCTCGCTGGAGACATCCTTAAGACCTGGGCACGTGAAAACAAGCATTTCGCTTGGGAGATCCTCTGAATTCTGATCCCCAGGAGAGGACAATCTAGAACACGAAACAAGCGTTTCGCTCGAGGCATTCCCAACAAGTTCTGCAACACAAGGGTTTCGCTCGGGACACCCTCAAGTTTTAATTCTCTTGCACAGGGTCTCTAGAGCTCCGACCACTTTATTTCGGCACCGCACCCCCCCCTTCACCATCATCATCATCAGCATCATCATCATCATCATCATCACCACCATCCTCACCATCATAATCACCATCATCATCATTATCATCATCATCATCATCATCATCATCATCATCATCATCATCATCATCATCATCATCATCATCATCATCATCATCATCATCATCATCATCATCATCACCATCATCATCATAATCACCATCATCATCATCATCCATCATCATCATCATCATGCGCCCCCCCCGTCTCAGCGCCCTCCCGCGGCTCCAGCGCCCGCCCAGTGCCCCCTCCGCCCCGACCACTTTATTTCGGCACCGCACCCCCCCCCGCTCCGCCCCCTCCCCCGCGCCGTCTCAGCGCCCCCCCGCGGCTCCAGCGCCCGCCCAGTGCCCCCTCCGCCTCGACCACTTTATTTCGGCACCGCACCCCCCCCCCGCTCCGCCCCCTCCCCCGCGCCGTCTCAGCGCCCCCCCGCGGCTCCAGCGCCCGCCCAGTGCCCCCTCCGCCTCGACCACTTTATTTCGGCACCGCACCCCCCCCCCGCTCCGCCCCCTCCCCCGCGCCGTCTCAGCGCCCCCCCGCGGCTCCAGCGCCCGCCCAGTGCCTCCTCCGCCCCGACCACTTTATTTCGGCACCGCACCCCCCCTCCCCGCTCCGCCCCCTCCCCCGCGCCGTCTCAGCGCCCCCGCGCGGCTCCAGCGCCCGCCCAGTGCCCCCTCCGCCACGACCACTTTATTTCGGCACCGCACCCCCCCTCCCCGCTCCGCCCCCTCCCCCGCGCCGTCTCAGCGCCCCCGCGCGGCTCCAGCGCCCGCCCAGTGCCCCCTCCGCCACGACCACTTTATTTCGGCACCGCACCCCCCCCCCGCTCCGCCCCCTCCCCCGCGCCGTCTCATCGCCCCTGCGCGGCCCCATCGGCCCGCCCAGTGCCTCCTCCGCCACGACCACTTTATTTCGGCACCGCAACCCACCCCCCCCCCCCGCTCCAGCCCCCTCCCCCGCGCCGTCTCATCGCCCCCCCGCGGCTCCAGCCCCGCCCAGTGCCTCCTCCGCCCCCTCCCCGCTCCGCCCCCTCACCCGCGCCGTCCTCAGCGCCCCCGCGCGGCTCCAGCGCCCGCCCAGCGCCCCCTCCGCCCCGACCACTTTATTTCGGCACCGCACCCCCCCTCCCCGCTCCGCCCCCTTCCCCGCGCCGTCTCAGCGCCCCCGCGCGGCTCCAGCGCCCGCCCAGTGCCCCCTCCGCCCCGACCATTTTATTTCGGCACCGCACCCCCCCCCCGCTCCGCCCCCTCCCCCGCGCCGTCTCAGCGCCCCTGCGCGGCTCCAGCGCCCGCCCAGTGCCCCCTCCGCCCCGACCACTTTATTTCGGCACCGCACCCCCCCCCGCTCCGCCCCCTCCCCCGCGCCGTCTCAGCGCCCCCGCGGCTCCAGCGCCCGCCCAGTGCCCCCTCCGCCTCGACCACTTTATTTCGGCACCGAACCCCCCCCCGCTCCGCCCCCTCCCCCGCGCCGTCTCAGCGCCCCCCCGCGGCTCCAGCGCCCGCCCAGCGCCCCCTCCGCCCCGACCACTTTATTTCGGCACCGCACCCCCCCCCCTCCGCCCCCTCCCCCGCGCCGTCTCAGCGCCCCCCCGCGGCTCTAGCGCCCGCCCAGTGCCCCCTCCGCC